AGAGAACTTAGAAATGTTTTAGGGACCACCTCTGAGGTGATTTAAAAGATTATTTTCAGGCCGGGCACGGTAACTCAAGCCTGTAACCCCAGCACTTTGGGAGGCTGAGGCGAGAGGATTCCCAGACCTCAGGGGTTTGAGACCAGCATGGGCAACTTGGTGAGACCTTGTCTCTACATTAAATTAAAAAATAAGCTGGGCATGGCAGCACTCAATTGTAGTTCCAGCTACTTGGAAGGCTGAGGCAGAAGGATTGCCTGAGCCCAGCAGGTTGAGACTGTGGTGGCTGTGAGCATGTCACTGCCCTCCAGCCTGGGCAAGGGAGCGAGACTCTGACTCAAAAAAAAAAAGATTATTTTTGACCAATTGGAAAATATAGTTAAGGAACTATGCGTATTCTGTCTGAAGAAAAGAGAATTAAAGGACTGGTTTAAAGTATCTGAATGGAGGTCTCTCTAATGGATTTAAGTAGGAAATTACATACAAGAAAACACTATTGGAAAGCAGCAGCTGAACATAAAAGAAGTATCCTGGGCAGGGTGGGTGGCTCAGCCTGTAATCCTAGCACTTTGAAAGGCCAAGGTGAGTGGACCGCCTGAGCCCACGGATTCGAGAACAGGTCGGGCAACTCAGCGAGACCTCGTCTCTACAATAAATCAAAAATTAACCAGGCATGGTAATTCACGCCTGTAGTTCTGGCTACTTGGAAGGCTGAGGCGGAAGGATCCCCGGAGCCCAGCAGGTCGTCACTGGGGTGACCGTGAGCTTGCGTGCCACTGCCCTCTAGCCTGAGCGACAGAGTGAGACTCCAACTTAAAAAAAAAAACGAAAAAAACATATCCTGAGACTCAGAATCAAGTGGAAGAAGAGGGACCAATAAATGAAAAGCATGAAATATACCAACATTTCCTTTGTGCTAGAGATTTGCTTCTCTGTTTTTGTCTATGTCCAGTGATCATGGTGTTTTTCCTCTCTCTTTTTGTTACATTTAGCTACTGGTTCTTGACTTGGTGGTTTGATTAAGTCTGGCATATTCTTTATTTTGTGTCCTATTACTATATCTTTGTGATCTAGAATAGCTCGAAAATTACTATCTGGGTTAACTTTTTTTAAAAAGCTGGGCACGGTGGCTCACGCCTATGATCCCAGCACTTTGGGAGGCCAAGGTGAGAGAACTGCCTGAACCCACACGTTTGAGCCCAGCCCAGACAGCTCGGCGAGGCCTTGTCTCTATAATAAATCAAAAATTAGCTGGGCGTGGTAGCACGCCTGTAGTTCTGGCTACTTGGAAGGCTAAAGCGGAAGGACCTATGGACCCTGCAGGTCAATGCTGGGGTGGCCATGAGTGTGCCACTGCATTCCAGCCTGGGCGATGGGGTGAGACTCCAACTAAAAAAAAAAAAATTAGCTGGGTGTGGTAGCACGTGCCTATAGTTCCAGCTACTTGGAAGGCTGAAGTGGTTGGATCCCCAGAGCCCAATAGGTCGAGTCTGCTGTGGCCGTGAGTGTGCCACTGCACTCTAGCCTGGGCGACAGAGTGAGACTCCGACTCAAAAAAAAAAAAAAGAAAAGTTTCTGACAGTACCTAGTTGACATTATAGTACATCGCAGATACTCAATAGTTGAACAGTTATAGCATATAAAACATTTTCTCATCTATTATCCTCTTGTTTTTCACAAAACTGTTACCAGAAGACCAGAAAGGTGATATGAAATGCCCCAAACACAGAGCTAATGAAAGTCATGATGAACACCCAGAGTATGATTCAGGAGGAAAGACGCCAAACCATTCTTTGCTTAATAATTTGGTGCAGCAAACTTTACTTGGGACTGTACCCCCACTTTGGTTAAACCTACTATAGCTGCTCTGTGAGAAAAACCCAGTCTCCTTACCCTAACAACATACCTTGTTTTCCCCTTCACTTACGGTGTTTCCTAACTTTTCTACAATCTCATAATTGCTAATATTGAATGTATTATAAAAATGCATAGTTTGCTTTGAGACAGAGCTTTTATTTCTAATGATTAGCTAGGATCCCTGGATAGGCTATTTTTTTGCCCATGGATTGATGTTAGGCTTCTCAGAGCTATTCTTTTAACTTTGTGTCTATTGTAAATGAGTATTGGCAATAGCATGACTTTAACTTTGAATATATTTTGTAGCAGTAGCCCAGAATGGTAAAGAGAACCCTGAATGAGGTCTCAGGAGACCAGGATTCTCAATAGCTCATCTCTATCCTGTAATGATGCTTTGGGAAAATTCTGGTACTTTCTGAATCTCAGTTTTCCCATCTACAGATAGAACGCATTGGGTTATAACTCCCAAGACCCCTTCTAGCTCTGGCATTCCACAGTTTGTAAACCTTAAACTGCTGTTCCACTAAATAGTGGCTTAAATGTGTTTTTGTACATTTGTAAAATATTATGGTGAGTCTTAAAATACTGTGGTAGGTCCTAAAATCTTGTGATCTTTGTAGCGGAAGGCATATTCTGCTCAAGGGAACTAATATGATGCCTCTAAACTAAAGAAACCATACCAAGAGGCTTCTTATGAATGTTGTATGCCCTTGACCAGATGAATGTTAGTGTCATTGTGACCATAGCTGTATATACTATTCGCACAGAGTGACTGTGACTGAGGTCATAGAATGTCACAACATGGAGATACTAGTGGGGAAGTCATATTCCTTCTGAGTATGGGAAAACATATTCAGAAGATTCAGAAAGAGACATGATTCAGAATCAGAAAGAAATTCAGAGAGAGAAATGAGTTTGCCCATAGTCACACAGTATTAAGTGTCAAACCAAGAATCTAACATGAGACTCCCAGACTTCCTGTTCGTTGCACTTTTTTCCTGCACTGCTACCTCACATGATTTCCCTCAAGGTGAGTACAAGTTACTATTAAATAAAGTGTCTCTGGTCATAAAGACATCTCCAGTCTCCAAAATAACTTGAATGATATTTGGCAGAAGAAAAGATGATAAATTTTCATAGCACTCTGATACTAAAAGCTTTTCTGGAGAACCTGTGAAGCCCTGTCTTTGGAGAGATTGCTTTGTTTTCGGTTTATTTTCCTAGCTTTTACCTCTGGAGCTCAGGAATGAAGTCTGGCTAAACTTGTATATTTAGAAATAGACTATATCTCTGAGAAAGGTCATTGCTGTGCTCAAATTGATTGGTTATTTAGAAATAGGATCCCTCTTGATTTGCATGCTTAAACTTTATTTGGAGTCTCCCTAAGGTGAAAAAATATAATGCGTACTTATTAAAAAAGCTGCCTTGGAAGATTTTCATGCCCTTTGGATAAAAGCAAAATCACACCCAGCACATAAATTGACATATGAAGCAGTCTATAATTCTATTGTGCAAGTTGTTTTAATGAACTCAGTCCAGAATGCTCCATTAACTAGCACACATAGAATATTCATGGAGTTTAGAGTTTATTGCTAGACCAGAAAAAAAAAAAAGGAAGGAAAGTATGGGGATGGGGGTGGAGGGATAATAAATGTCAGCACAAGAGCTGAGGCAGAGAGGGGTTAGAAAGAAAACTTTAGAGGTATGCCCAATACTTTTCTTTTCCTCTGTCTTTTTCTTATTCTTCTCCCTATAGTCTTTCTTTTTTCTTTTCTTTTCTTTTTTTTTCTCTTTGGGTAAAGGATTAAGTACTACAAAGTTTGGTCTCAACTTTCAAATATAATCATCAAATAATCAGAGAACTGGCCTACAGAAAGTGCCAGACTCTTTTCTTACTTTCCTTTTATAAGAAGCAGCTCAGGGATCAGCCAACTGGGGAAGGGAGTGTTATAAGCATTTATGTGAAATTGTGTTTATACACATCTCTACATGGATAAATATTCAGAAACCACAACAACATTCCCAAAGGAATCCTTCCTTAATACAGGAAGTGACAACTTTGTGAAGGCACCACAATTAAGCTCTGGTTTTCATTCTAGAAATTCCAGGATTTAATTTCTAGAAGAAACGAGACCTATGGATTGTTCCATAGAGCTGTTTAGAATTACAAGCAAGTTAGTTTTAAAGCTTGTCAAATATAAGACACCTGAGCTTGGCTTAACCTCCAGGCATCTCTTTGCATTCAGAGATGTCTAAAACCACAAACCATAAATTCTGATGGACACATGCAAAAGAAGAGGTCATTGAAATGACAGTTTTGTTATTCAATGTGTCTACACCCCTCTGCCATGGCTTTCCCTCCTCTCAAGTTGACTTTCTCTTGCTCTGCCCTTGGGTTTTCTAGATGACCAAGCCTGTACTATGCCAGGTAGTGGTTTCCTTCCACTTATTGTAGATTAGAACTCTGCACCTAGTGAGAAAGGCAAAGCATAGTCTTCCTACAAACTTTGATATGTTCACTGCTGCAATTTCACTGAATGGAATGTATGCAGAGAAGAGAGGACTATGAGATACAGAAGCTGAGGACACAGGACATTTTGAATTGGTCACCATTCCTCTAAAAGATTGTGAATGACAATTTGGAAGGTCCCATATCTAAGTCGTTTTTTGCTTGAATTTACTGCTTTGTGCAAACTGTTGCTGTTGTCATAGCATGTCCTTTCTCCTTGAAACTGTCTTCCTTCTTGGCTGTTCTTATTCCTGTCTCACCTCTTTGACACCTCTTTCTCACTTTCTCTCTTAACTCTTACCACCAGATCAGGTGGTAAGATCAGGTCAATGTCTGCATTTCTTGCTCCAGCCACTATTCTGAGTACCAGGCTTACATTTCCAACTAGGTGTTTCCACACAAGATTCTCAACAACACCTCAAACTCACTCATGTTTGAAACCAAATTCATTATTTTCTTCTAATCTCCTAAATTTCCTTGAACAGTTTGAGCAGATGGGAGGTAAGCCACTTATCAGCAGCATTATCAGCAGCAAAATAAAGACTGCTGGAACCATCACATTCCTTTTCTTACTCTTTTCTTGTTGTTTTAGTCTATTGGAAATGACTAAACTAATAGAAAATTTCTCTTATAGGAGACAAGGAGAAGGTCTTAGGATCTACTGGGGAAGTCCAGAGGATCAGTCCCTTCTATCCCGCTGGAACCCATGGTCCACTGAGGTTCCTTATGCTACATTCACTGAGCACCCTATGAAATATACCAGTGAGAAGTTTCTCGAAATTTGCAAGGTAGGAGGCAACTTGGGCATTACTATTAGATTACCTCTGTTGGTAGAACTATGTACTTCTAGAAAATACTGTTAAGGAAATAAATAAAAATAAAAATACAACCTGGTATTTATTTTATTATTTTTGGATTTTAGGTGTGATCCACTAGGCCTGGCCACATCCTGGAATTTATATAGGAAAAAAATTAAAATAAAAAAGATATATTTTTGATATCAATATATATATATATATATATATGAAAAAAATATATATGTATACACACACACATGCTGTTTTCCCTGTGTTAATTGCATTTATTGCCTACAGGGTGCATATAATTTCCCATATGATTCTAATTATTTTATTCAGGAAAGAAATGTGGAATAGTTCTAAGTGTAGTCAGATAGAAATGATTACATCATTTCTCTGGACCTTGATAGTCTCACCTGTAAAATACAGCAAAGAATACTGCCTTTCCTTCCAACCTCATTGTACTATTGTCATGTTAAATGGGATGATGTGCATATAAACACTCTGTGAAGTATAAAGTAATAAAGAATATTTTATGTCTTTAAATATCATCTCCTCAAGTAGGTGTCAAACTCATTAGTGGTAAGGACTGTCATCTATTCTCTCATCTCCCAGGTATCTTTTTTTTTTGAGTTGGAGTCTCACTCTGTGACCCAGGCTGGAGTGTAGTGTCACACTCATGGCCACCCCAGCAGCGACCTGCTGGGCTTCAGCGATCCCTCCGCCTCTATTTTCCAAGTAACCAGAAGTACAGGTGTATGCTACAATAAATAAATTTTTGATTTATTGTATAGATGAGATCTTGCCAAGTTGCTTGGGCTGGTCGCAAACCCGCGAGCTCAGGCAATCTACTCTCCTCAGCCTCCCAAAGTGCTGGGATTACAGGCTGAGCCACTGAGCCTGGCCTCCCCCAAGTATCTTAAGCTACGCCATTTGTGATACTCTTATTTTACAATATCTCAGCCCAAGCATCAGCATTAGCCCCTAGCCTGATTCTTTATCACCAAAGCCAACAAAATGAGAACAATATAGCAATTACACAAAGGCAATTACATAAGAGTAGACTCACGGAGAGCTTCAGGAAGACAGAATGGGAGTTTGTATCATGTCCTTGCTCCTAACTTCAATGGAGTATTAGATATCTCTGTTTTTAAAAGTTTTTTAAAAATTAATATTAATGCTTTGATACTTTGTTCCATAATCTTCTCTCTCCTCTTTATCCTGCTTTTGCCCTCCCCAAGCTACACTTTCTTAAAAATGTAGAGCAATTCGTGTTTCTTTTTTTAACATCTATTAATCCAAGTCAAAGAGCTTGATAACCTATTTTCTTTTAAATGAAGGAAATCTGGTTCTAGCCATTAAAATAATATATATATTTGAATTGATAGTAGTTGTATTTTATAAATCAAAATGATTATAAACTGCCTTAGTTATTACAACCATCACTTCCTGGATCAAGTCTCCTCTTATTCTTCATACCTGATGCATTAGATATGTATTCCTGATTGTCCTTTGTGGAAAAAGTTAGGGTGAAGGATTAAAGAATAAGTTCTATGAACTGCAGAGAAATACTGCTGTCTCATTCTATTACCTGATAATGCTTTATCTGATTCCGCTACATATAAATACAATCAAATAATTTAAAAGGAAAGATGAAAAGAAAAGTAAAATATCAAAGAGGGCATGGAATAACTATTCCTCAAATACCCATGAATGTAGTTAGAAGACTAGAGCATTAAATTTTGCCTCATCCTTCCCACTGGCAAGGCTAAAAAGTGAAATTGATGCTCCTATAGCTTTTATCTGATGTAAGTAAGAATAGCAGGTGTGAGGCACTTGCATACACGTATGAACATGATAGATGACTGCTTAGTTGGTTGGTTGGTTGGTTTTTAGTCGCTCAAACTACTTCGTGAATCTGTTAAGTGTATTTCTGTTAAGGCTTTTCTCCTTAAATTATTATCCCAAGTCTTTCTTTTTCTTCAACAACAGTCTGGTCCTTTCATTTGCCAAGCCATTCCTTATTCAAAGGCCACCCCAAGTCCCAGCTCTTTAGGAAAACAAATGATCTCCATCTGGAATGTGAGATGATGAATACTTTGATCCAGTTCTTTGAGTCTTAGTTTCTCTTTTGTTGTTGGTTCTTATGTCACAATATTATTTGTGTTTAGGACATTTTCCAAGATTGGCTTTGACTAAGACCCAGTTATATTAATGTAAAAGAATAAATAAGAAGAAAGATAATTTGGGGGATCTAGAATCCTTTTTATGTGAATATTTTGGCATAACATAAGATTTTAAACGGGTTTTATGAACTGGTTTTTCTATCTCTCTTATGAATGAAATCAGAAAAAAGCAGAGGACTATGGGGACAATGTGTAACTAAATCAAATACCTAAAGCAATTTAATTCAGTTTAACAAACCCATTGTGACACAGGGGAGGGAAAAATGTGAACTGAGTTACACTGTCAAAATTTTCAAATTATTTACAGTCTAATGGAATAACTTATTATTTAAGATATACATTAAAATATTCAAACTTATCATTATCCAGAGTCTTTTCTTCTATAGTACCTAGAATCTCTTTATTCAATAAACATTTTCTGACACCAAAAAAATAAATGTAGGTATTATGATTGTTGCGAAGTATACAAACAGAAATAAGACAAGATTCTTGCCTTTGTAGACGACATTGTTAACAGAGGAGGCAGGTAAAAATGCAGAGATCTATAAATGAGTACCAATTGACTATAATAGAAGTTTGGAAAAGGAATGGAGATACATGAAGGCTATAGAGGATTCTTAGATAAAGAATAATTTTGTTTAACTGGAATTTAATCTTACACAATTGACACTGTAATTATAAGAGCTCAGATAATTGAGATAAGAACCTAAACTAAGGAGCAATGGGAAGGGAGAGAAGATGAGGAAATTCTGAGTTATTTAGATGTAGAATTAATGGAAACAGGTAACTGACACGATAATTGAAGGTACCAAATATGTCAAAGATGACAAGGTTTCTAGCTTAGGCAGATGGTGAGCCCATTAATTTTGATTAAGGAAAATTGGAAGAGAAGTAGGTTTGGGGATTCAGTGAAGGGCATGTTGAATTTGAAATGTTTATAGAATGCCATAGAATGTATGGTTGAGTTGGTTGTTAGGCAGTTAGAAATTCAGGTCTGAAGCTCAGTAGAGAAGGCCGAGTTGGTGATACAGAATTCAGGTCACACAACATTGGGTCAGAGCTGGTTGATCAGGAAGGCACACGAGGAAGGAGTGTCAATGTACATAATTGCACTCAGATTTAGATTTATACTATCTGTAATTCTCAATATATAAAACAGTAACTTTTGGTACTGATTTTAATATTATGAGACATAAAAAGAATCTCATGTGCTATTCTATAATTGTATTTTATATTTATTAATTATAGTTTTAATAATATTTTTATGTAATTCAACTAATGAAACCCTTGTAAAGTCAGAATATCTTCATTTTAAAAATGAGGACACATTCAGAGAAATTATGTAAATTGACAAAGGTCATACAATAATAGTTCAATGTCCACACCCCGTCCACTAATACTCAGGGAAATGGGTACAAATCTAAAGAAATTCTCTGTGTGTGTGTGTGTGTGTGTGTGTGTGTGTGTGTGTGAGAGAGAGAGAGAGAGAGAGAGAGAGAGAGCAAGAGCGAGAAAGAGTGAGAGAGACTGTGTTTATGCATTCATATTAATTTATATGATATTATACATTACAAACTGGCTCAATTATCCTCAATTGTTTCATCTATGTTGTATTTACAACTTGTAGTTTTATCTTTCATTTTTTAAACATTGTTTTACTGGGTTCTTGGAGTATGTTGAGGGTACTGGGTGAAGGACTAGTAACTGAATTCAGAGCTGCTGGTGAATAATAATGAATGGATGGATTGTGGATACTCTACAACCAAATCAAAGTGATCTACAGACCAACCATTTTTATTTTTTCTTGCCATTTTCTCTCATCTTTTCAAGGGGATTATGAATGGAAACCAATGTTTTAGCAATCGTATTTAACTTTATATGCCTAGCCACTTGGTTTCCTTTTATATCAATTCAACAAATATTCATTGAATATCTACTTGGCATTGAATAGTGTGTAATAAGCAATGTGCTGGAATATCAAGAAGAATAAAATGGATTTTGCCCTAAAGACATTTACAGTATAGAGGGAAGAAGCAGAAAGGGAATTAACAAATTAAATTTAGTATGTTAAGACTGTAAATAGGGGAATTCATAGGGTATTATGGGAGTCCACAAGAGGGAACAGGTAAGTCCAAAAGTTAACAGAAGTGATGACATTTGAGGTGACCTCAATATATGGATGATTTAAGCATCAAATAAGAGCTGGGCTCGGTGGTTTAGCCTGTAATCCCGTGCCTTTGGGAGGCTGAGGTGAGTGGATTGCCTGAGCCCGTGGGTTCGAGACCCGCCTGGGCAACTTGGCGAGACCTCATCTCTACAATAAATCAAAAGTGAGCCGGGCGTGGTAACGCACGCCTGTAGTTCCAGCTACTTGGAAGGCTGAGGCGGAAGAATTGCTGGAGTCCAGCAGGTCGAGGCTGCAGTGGCCGGGAGCGGCCACTGCACTCCAGTCTGGGTGACAGAGTAAGACTCCAACTCAAAAAAAAAAAAAAAAAAGCATCAATAAGGTGAGAAAGACATTTTAAGTAGAGGAAAAATGGTTAAAAACTAAAAAAACAGATGCTTCTGCCTCATCCTGCCATTTCTCTCTACACACTTGGATTTGCCCAATCACTGGGTCTCTATAAAGATATTTCCAAGTAAAATGTGCAAAGATGATATATACAGTCTGTCCAGCAGTGTGACTTCCCAAGTGGTTTCAAGTATTGGGCATTGAATGGCCTTGCACTTGATGCCAGGTTGTTCCCTGCACAGAGAGGCTAAAACCTGTAGCCTGAAGGCCTGGAAAGCCTACTCGACTGAGGAATGTGGGCCTGCAGGCATGAAACCTGGTCTCTTTACCCTGTGTAAACAGGAAGCAAGTGATGGTTGTAATAAGGAAAACTGAGACTCTAGGCAGTAAACTGCTGGCAGACAGCACCTGAAGCAAACCTGTGGCTCAGGCACTCAGCTGGTAAATACTTGCTGTAAAGTCAAGAAAAATACACTACTCCCCCACCCCTACCATGCACACTGCTATACTTTATTGTAACCAACACACAGCCCCTGTGTAACTGGAGTTGTTAAAACTTGACCCTCTGTTTTTGAGACTGGAATAAAAGAGGGAGCCAGAGGTGGGTGTATAAAAGCTTTTAGAGAAAAGTATGTGACTGGTGGCATTCATATCAGATGACACAGCGTTCCTGTCACACAGATTTAGTTCAAGTACTTGAAATGTTCAAGAGTCAGATTGGGGACTTGGCCTTTTGTCTGCCTCTCCTTCAATGCACTGCTTGTCTCTCTGTAAGCATCCCCCCACCCCCTTTGAAAAAGCTCCCAGAAATGACTGGAAATGAAGTGCATCCAGCTCTAATGAAATGCCAAGTTCATTGAGTATGAAATAGTGTCAACCTTTTCTTTCCAGCACTTTGATTTTTTTGAGGCCACAGAGGATTCTCATGAAATGAAGCTTATGATGAGGACTGAGAATGCACTCAATAATCCAATTTGACAAACATTTATTAATCTATGAAAATGCATCCTGGTAATTCAGAGGGTGTCGGCAATGGAAATGTTGAGATGAATTGCACTTTGCTTTTTAGGAGATCATGGTTTGATGATAATGATAATGATGACGATGATGTCAGTGATGATAAAAACAGTTCATACATATTAACTGTTGGCAGCCAGTTACCTTTATGTCTTTGCAATATGATTCCAAATTCCAGCCTCATGTCATTTCGCTTTCTTAACCTTTTATGCATTACAGGAGCACATAGGTGCATGTGTGAACACACATAGCTTATATACAAATCCTCTTTTACTTAATCTTTACAACTGTCCTATGAGTTTGATGCTAGTAATATCCTTATTTATGGAAAAGGAATTATAAAATTCAGAGGTTGGATAACTTGCCCACGATGGCACAGCTAGTGAGTGACTTAGTTGCAACTTAAGACCAGATCTATCTGATCCTAATACTCATGTTACATCGTATTATACTTCCTTTTGTTTAGTGACTCTCAACAGAGGATGATTTTGCCCTTGATGGACATTTGGCAAAGTCCCATTGTGTCCAAATGAGACATTTTTGGAAGCCCTACTGGTATTTGGTAGGCAGATGCTAGGGAGGCTGTTTAGCATCCTAAAATGCAAGGACATTCTCCCCACAGCAAATAATCATCTGGTCCCAAATAGCAATAGTCCCAATGTAGATAAACCTTGGTTTAGTTGGATAGATAGTCATTGTGACTCTGTTTCTTAGAAAACCAGATGTTATATTTGAGTGCAATGTGATAGAAGAAAAGATCAATGTTTGCCTTGCGTACATGGGAAGGCATTGTGGAAGAGTTAGGATTTGAGCTTGGTTTTGAAAGATGAGTAGGAGAGTGGGCACTGTAGATTAATTCACTTTGTGGATTAAATCATAGACTATCAGAGCTAGAGTTCCTAGGCAACCTTAGTCCAGCAATTTTCTTTAAAAAATCTTTTTCCGGGCTCAGTGGCTCAGCCTGTAATCCCACGCCTTTGGGAAGTTGAGGTGAGTGGATTGCCTGAGTCCGCGGGTTCGAGACCGGCCTGGGCAGCAAGACCTCATCTCTACAATAAATCAAAAAATCGGCCAGACGTGGTAGCGCGCGCCTATAATTCCAGCTACTTGGAAGGCTGAGGCGGAAGGATCGCCAGAGCCCAGCAGGTCGAGGCTGCAGTGGCCGGGAGCGGCCACTGCACTCCAGTTTGGGCGACCGAGTGAGACTCCAACTCAAAAAAGAAAAAATCTTTTTAAAAATAAAATCTTACTTGGAATTCAAATATATAAATGGATAAAAATAGAGCAGCTCTGATTGATGCCATTGAAGGGACCAGAGCAGGTTACTCACTTGGCTTTTGGACAAAAGTCCACATCACCTTTCCAGAACCCTCAGGTACCTGTTGTCCCAACATTATTCACAACAGCACTTTATTTTCAAATAATCCATGTTTAGATGATAAATTATATGTGGTCAGCCAACCTATGATGACATCTAGTGTTTTGAGGAAAATAGTTTGAGATGAATGAGTCCAATATTTTCTCTATCCCTTTTGCAAAGAAGTAACATGAATTATTCCCTAAATAGTAGAATGTTAATACTAAATTTCCTTAATATCATAATTTATAATACTTCTCATAATAGTAGTATTTTATTGAAGAGAAGGCTTTAGGAGTTAAGTCAAGAGACTAGGGTCCAAGCCCTTGCTCAACTGTTTATTAGTTATTTGGCATTGTACTGATCTCAATAACACTCACACCCTCAGTCTACATATTAGATCCCCTCTACTTTGTCCACAATGCCTAGCATCTAGTCCAACAAGAATTTTCTTAATTCGTTAATTTCTACTCCCATCCTATACCCTATATTGCCTAGACTATTTACTTTATGAATATTGTTTTTGACTTCTGGATCTGTGATTATTATTTTGGAAATTATAACTACAGACATAGACTTTTCATCTATATATTTATTCATACTTCAAGCTCATGTATCCAGTTGCCTTTTGAAAATCTATAAGCGGCTTCCTGGTTTGATAACTTAACCTGCATGTCTATAACAAAATCCTTGATCGTACCTCACCATCTCTAATCTCTACCTCTCCTAGGCTTCCCCAATTCAGCAATAATATTACATATTTGCTCACTTATTCAGGCAAAACATCTGGGTGTCATTTTTTTATCACTCTCCTCTCTTCACCCCTAAATTCAATCATACCAGTAACTTCTGTGGCTCTTCATACTCCTTTGTCCTCCCCCCTCCAATATCCCTAATTTAACCAGCTTTCATGGTCTCCACTGTTACCCTAGTCCAAACTCATCTTGCCTTCCTCTTTTCATTCTTAACCCTAAAAACATTCCATTCTTGAGTCCACACAGCAGCTAGGATTATTTAAAAAAAAAAAATCGGCCTGGCTCAGTGGCTCCGTCTGTAGTCCCAGCACTTTGGGAGACCAAGGTGAGTGGATTGCCTGAGCCTGCGGGTTCACCACCAGCCTGGGCAACTTGGCGTGACCTCATCTCTACAATAAATCAAAAATATTAGTTGGGCGTGGTAGCGCATGCCTGTAATTCCAGCTACCTAGAAGGCTGAGGTGGAAGGATTGCCGGAGCCTACCAAGTTGACACTAGGGTAGCCGTGAGTGTGCCACTGCTCTCCAACCTGGGCGATGGATTTTGACTCCAACTCAAAAAAAAAAAAAAATTAATTAATTAAAAATAAAAATCATACAACATTGAACTCCTTCTTAAAATCACTTCAGTCCAAAGTCCTTAATATGACCACAAAGACTCTGTGCCTAGTGCTCCAAACTCTTCAATTTGTTTTTTGTACCCCAGTCTTACAAGCCATTTCTGTGTTCCTTGTATAAACTGAACTCATTTCTACCTCACAGCTTTTGCAATTACTTTTTTTTCCCTCCCCTGGAATATGTTCTCCACATACAAACTCTTTTTATCACTTGGGTGTCAGTTCAAGTTTTACTGTTTCAGAAACAATTGCTCTGAATATGATACATGTAATTGTCCTCACTTCCATTACTTTTTATTCTTAACCCATTTTATTTTTCTCTTAGAATTTATCCCCATAAATCATGTGATTCTGTTGCTTTTACTTTTTGTCTCCTATCACTAGAATGTAAGCTCCATGAAAGCAGGTTTTTGCCAACCTATTCACAGCACTTAGAACATACCTAGAATATTGTGTGGACACCTCATCAAAATTTCTTGAATGATTTCAGATGCCCTTTCATCTATTAGTGACATAGAGTTTACAGTATTCATAATGATGGGAATAATTTGTATACACTTTAGCTGAAACAAAAGTGGCATGTGATAACCTTATGTAGATGATAAACTGAAAAAACACATATTATTTCTGACATGAGAAACAAAACTTGATCGAGAAAAGTTAGCTTAATAGAGTTAAACATAATTATTAGCTGTATTGACCAGAGAGTTAAATTTAACCATTTATGTTTAAGAAGCAAGATTAACCCCAGTCCCAGGAGAGTGGTCAACCTTTGTAAGGACTGGATGAGATGTGATGTCTTGGGATGTACTCTGCACTCATTAACACTATGCCTTCTTTTTTTCTTCAGTTGTCTGGGTTCACGTCTAAGCTTGTTCCAGCCATCCAGAATGCCCACAAGAATTCCACTGGATCTGGAAGAGGAAAAAAACTGGCGGTGTTAACTGAACCCATTTTGATTGAGACCTATACAGGGCTGATGTCATTCATTGGAAACCGCAACAAACTTGGCTATTCCCTTGCCCGTGGGAGTGTTGGTTTTTGAGAGTCTTGTTGGTACCATAAGTATATCATTATTATAGGTCAATATTGAAGATTCTGTAAGCCCACCCCCTATTTTTGGACTGAAACAATTAAGTGCTTTTAAATAGTACTACATTCTTTTAAATATGTAGTATTTTAGGAAATCTAAAAACTTGATTGGGCTGATTGATGCACACTTTAGACCTCATATAAGAATAAATCAAATTTTCTTAAAACCAACAAAGAAATGCTGCTAAGCCCATCAAATAATGTTATCAAATGAGTGCCTGATTGTAAACTCAGGTAAGAAGACTGTCTGGGTTCTTGTTCTTCCAACTCTCTAAATGCAGGCATTTTTCAGGTCTTGGTGGTTTTAGCTCTTTGATCCTGATTTATTCTTTCATTTGAATCTCACTGTCTCTATTATTTGAGCTACCATTCTTATAAGGATGACTTCCAAATTCATATTTCTGTCCCCAATATTATTCCAAGATTGAGTTTTGTTCCTGTTCACAAATTATCTACATATCAGTGTTCCAGTGCCCCTCACATTCAGCATCTTCAAAATCCTGAATTTCTCTGTGGCTTTTTTATGGTTCCAGTTATCCACTCCTGAGGTCCATCAGTTTTGATTTCTCTAAATTCCTTGTCAAGTACGTTCCATATACTATCACACCTCTGTGTGGCTTAGCATTGTACCCCAATGCCCTGATGTTAAACTGAAAGCATATTCTTCTTTCAAAAATGTTCTTATGCCCCTTCTCCTTTCCATTCTCATAACTATATTATTAGATCAAGTTTTAAATTCTATTCACCTGATTATTACCACAGCATTTTAACTAAAATCCCTATCTAACACTGACCCTGTTTCAATCCACCCTGCACTTGATTTCCAGATTCCTAAGCACAATTGGATCATATCATTCCTTAATCAAGAACTTATAATAGTTCATTTACATTTGCCATTTTTTGTTCTAATAATTTTTCAATAGCAGACTCTTTTCTTGTAATGACCTCTTTTACAGAAGAAGCCAGACATACACCCAGATAAAACAGGACTGCTATGGTTGGAGTAGAGATGGGAATGTCACTGTTTTCCTCCTTTTTAGGCCTCATAGGTGCCCCATATGGAATCTCCATGGATCTCACAGGTTTTTGACAATGGTATTTTCAAAAACACTGTCCCAACTCACTCTGTTCCCATTCACTGCTCTTTTTCCTCTTATTTCCTTTTTGTCTCTTCCTGTCTTAGGTCGAATTTTGAAAAACCAAGAAGATTATCTCATCTGTTTACATCTCTTCAGATTTCTTTTTCATTTTAAAATTTTATTTTAATTTATTTAGAAAAGAAACTTTGAAGAATACCATAAATGCTATTATAGTTTACCTTTTGTCTTTCCCAAGAACCAACAATGAAACACTTTGATAGATATTCAAGCTGAACATTCCAGGTAATTTTTTTTTTCTTTTGGCTATGTAAAGTTTGTTTTCAAAGTCTTTTCTTTGAAAAGCTTGCTGCCTCAATTTTGAAGCTTTGTCCTCAAATATATTCATAAACATCCATTTGATGCAGGCATTCCAAACCCAAACTTTGAACAACTCATTTTATTTTGTCTTTGTTTACTTCCATTAATATTCCTTTCCTTTTCTTTCTTCCTCCTTTTCAGCACCCATTTTTATTCCCCCACCATGGCAAATATTGTTATAGTCCCCAAGGCAGGGAACTTCTATTCAGACTGTAAAAGGAAATGTTGAAATCTTTAGCTGTCCTGTCAACAGTAGTGGAATGAAAAGTCGTTGGATTGTTTTGGCAGTGGTTCTAAAGCAGGCATAATTGGCAAATTATTATAATACTGCTGCCCAAAAATCTCCATTTGCCTCAAGATAGTGGCATTTATTGGCAGAAGCTTCCAAAGTGTCCAGTACATTTCTTTGAGTTACCATTTAAGGATCAGCCAGCCTGACAATGGACTTTTCTCTGTACATTTATCCCCCTTGTAACCTAAGCCAGACTGTTCCCAAATGACTTTCTATAGGGCACAGAGCAGCATCATCAGTGGAAGCAACTCAGTAAGGATGAGAGGAGAAAGATGTATCTTAGTCCTAAGCTCTAACAATGCGATAAGTATTTAGTGAAATTAAGCTGTTTTGCATGGAGAAGAGTAAACTCAGAATTGACGTGAGAATCTTTATGAATTGTCTTTGCATTTTACAAAGACTGTCATAAGAAATTCCATTAATTGATAAATGGGATCTAGAAAGCAGAACTATGACTAGAGCGTGAGAAGATTTAGAAATTTGGATAGTTCTTCAAGATAAGAAAAACAATTCTTCCGGTTTTAAGAGATCAATTATGAAATGGGTTGCTTCTCAAAACAGTGAGCCCCCATCACTTGACATGTTCAAGGAGAGAGTAGGTAAAACAGATATTATGGAAGGAATTGCTGTATGATAACATTTGGAGAAATGATTGACATAATCTTTTAAGGTCAGTGACTTTATGATTCTTCAAATAATTTTTGCTAATGGTTAGATAATTAGACCTCCCCCCGTTTTTGGAAGGAATTGGATCTATCATGTGAGACTCTGAAAAATTATCTGAACTTTTCTAAAATTTAATTTTCTTATCTGCAAAATGGAGAAAATGATACTATTCTGCTTATTTCATAAATATCTTGTGAGGATTCAATGAAATGAGGTTAAATTCTTTTATTAAATACAAAGTGTTGAATATTTGCCTATAGAGTGACATGACTTTTGCAACAGAAAATGGGACAACATTCAAGACAACTAAATTCATTTTTCTCCAGGAATTGTTTCTTGGTTACCATGGACCTACTGTTATGCTTTTCTCATTTTACACTTGGTATTCTTATGCTCTTTGTCCCTAAGCTCAATAGGTACCACAAACTAAGCAACCTGTATATCTATCTGGGTTTCTCCTTTAGAATATCATCTGAACTTTACCCCTAAAGTTTTCCAAATGGGCATTTTGTGTTTGGGAATAGGATTAGATACAAGCGTCATTAAGTACAGTACACAGTTTATCACCACAACAATGTCTTGGTTGTGGGTCTTTATTTGATCTTTATCTCATTCTGGAATTTCTGCTAGAAAATGTCCAGTAAGTTTTATTTCAGAAACTGCTTGAACATCTCCATTGACAAATTCTTCATAGTCTTCTGATACTTCTTGGGCAATTCTGCTGGTCAGAAAGTTCTCTTTCTGCTGAATTAGAAACTATGCCCCCCCCCCTTTATTTTTTTTGGCCATCTTTCATTTAAAAAAAAAATCTTAGGAACTAGAGTTGGTTCATCTTTTTTCATGACAAAATATGAGACATTTGGGTACATAATGAAAGCTGATGGATTCTCTAATATTTCCAAGAGGGGTAGCTGACAGAAATCACCATGCCTGCCCCCTTCCCCATGGCCAATTGAGCCTCTTTGGAGACCTGATCTTTGGTCATCCTAAGATCATCTAAGGCAGAAAAGAAAAACTAAATTATGCTTTGGCTACTTTTGGCTCTTTTGCCTTGAGGCCCATTTTCATTGTCCCTTTGCTAAAGCGTTACTGGGAAGTCAATTCACAAAGCTCTGGGGCTAAAAAGGCACAGACACCATCAAAATCCAATGCTTTCATTTCACAGAACATAAAGTAAAGGTGTGGAAACAAACAAATAAACAAAAAAATTGCTCAAAAAAGATGTTGAATTTTTGGAAAATACTGGGTTTAGACTAATTCCTATTCCTGGCCCTCTCACTGTTCTTTCTAAAATAATTTCTCTATTTCCTAGGAAAGACATGCCATCTGAATAAGTGTATCATAGTTACTGGGTTAATTCTGAGGTAAGAAAACAATAGGTCATGATTGTTTAGGGGGAATTTCCAGAAATTGCCTTTATTTTCTTAAAGGCTGAGGCCACTCATAGAAGTCTCTCATTTCCTATCTGATCAAAAAGCCCAAACAAAGCTGCGGAAGCCAGCAGAGCCAGCAGGTATTTTGTAAGGCAGCTTTACCTCTGCCTGGCATTTTGTGGGGCAGGAGAGGGGAGGGCAAAAGTATTAAATTTAGGCTTAAAAGCTCCTCAGAAATTCTTTACACACAAGAGACCAAGTTGGAGAAAAGAAGATGACTTGTGCCAAGGGGAAGAAAGAAAGAGACTAATGCCTGTGGTTTTCAAAGGTTAACAACAACATAAAAAAGCCAAAGTATTTGCACGGGGATGAATGCTCATTGGCTCTTGTCCAACAATTATACAAGGGCTTGTGCCCACATCCTGTAGCTGTGGTTTAGGGACGCTGCCCATGAGTGACTTCTTATGCTTAGTGGCAGGAAATTTTAGTCACTGATGTGTAAACTCACCTTTGGTCTGCACCTCCCACAACGTGGCAAAAGCAGTTAGGGGGCCAGGCCTCTTGATTTCCGTGCAGATACCAGCTCCCCAGAGGCTAACGAAGAACTCTGTTTGAGACCTTGGGAGTGACTGAGAGTTGATCAGTACTTGTCTTATTTCACCTGATTATGACAACCCTGTAGGATAATTCTGTGGCCACAAAAAGGAATTATGATAGCCTCTGCTAAACCTTCTCTTTAGCCTCAAAGCCCAAGACAAAAAAAAAAAAAAAAGTGAGCCATATTTCATTGCAGGGCTGCAGCCAATGTGAAACATGAGGAGCGAAGTCATGAGCTTCCTTCTCAACCTAGATCTTGTAACTCATATGCTATTTTATGCTCAATTTCAAAAAGTTCTTAGTAAACACCTCACAAACCCCCCTTTTAGTGAAGCCAAATGGAATTGGCAAGTCCAGTTTAATTAACTCCTGTATTTTCAAGGTGGATATGGGAGATCCTAATATTATATTGTGGATTCATTGGGATCCAGTTCTTTGAACTGCCAACTGGGTTTTTTGTTGTTTTTTTTTTTTAACTCTATCATCTGAACTGTACTATTAAAGTTTTCCAAATGGGCACTGTAAGTTTGGGAAAAGGATTAGACACAAGAGTCATTAAGTACAGTACAAAGCATATCACCACAAAAATGTCATAGTTGGCAGTCTTCTTTGTCTCTTACGTCCTGCCCACAAGGTTTATCTCATACATCTCAGAAATTCGTTCCTTTTACATTCCCTGCTCACTCTCTAAGGAATAATTGAATCTGAGAATGGAAGGGACCTTCAAGATCAACTAGTATATTTTCCTACAGGTTGCAGGAATGCCCTCAATCAAAATATGCACAATAGATGGAGAGTCAGATCCTGTATGAA